GGCCAACTGTTTCCTATTTTCGGTATCGGTTTCGGTCAAGAATTTCCCATTCGGTGCACCCCTAATATGTACATTTATTTTACACAAGACAACCATATACAAATCCCACAGGCCATAAGACTGTTAAACACCTGAACCTTTGAAAGAGCATCCATAACATTCATCTGTTTGCAACTTATATATATCAATATTTCAATTACTTGTAAATACTGTAGACTATTCTGCTGATTTTTAGTCCCAGTCCGCCCCTGACTGTAGCTATCTACAAATTACAATAAAAGTCTTGAATCCTTGAAAATTCACATTTCAACATGTTCAAATCTTTAAGTGACAAATAATAAAAGAATATTCTTTGATTGGCCTGTCACTCCAACAAAACATCACATAAGTGCATTTAACAATCAAACACATNTGTGTGTGTGTGTGTGTGTGTGTGTGTGTGTGTGTGTGTGTGTGTGTGTGTGTGTGTGTTTTGGCTCGTGTAGTAGCAAAGACTGATAGATTGAAGCCAAAGAGAAAGTTCTCTGAGTTTGGTGAGGGATTACCGAAACAGGCTGGGATTAAAATGGTGTGTGTGTGTGTGTGTGTGTGTGTGTAGAGCTGTGCTGGTTGCGGTGGTGGGGGAGGATGATTGCATTTTCTAAAAAGAAAGACAGAGAGGGGAGGGCTCGGACACTCGGCCTTATCTCTGGTCCCTGCTTGGAGCCTCAGTTAAAATGCCACACTGGCTCTGCCTTTGTAACTGAAGTCACTGATGAAAGGCTTGACTTAGCCGCCAGCAATTCAACAGTCTTTAATGCAAGGTTGATTGAGTCTGACTCAGCGTTTGATGCAAATAGCCTCCAAAGTTTCTTCGGTCAACATGAAACAGTGTGTCCTTTCTGAAATGCCAGCTACTTGTTACAGGACTGATATGAACTTTCTTTTTCTCATATGTTCTGTCTGTCTCCTTGCAGGAGTCGGGCAGCGGTGAGGATGACCGTCGCTCCCAGCCCAGGAGGTGAGACACTTCCTGCTTTGTCATACTCTGTCTCCAGTTTCCTGCAATAACTCTGTTTTTACACAAACTGTCATCCAATCGCATCACTAGAAACTGTGAATTGACACTCTGGCCACTAGGGGGAGACAGAGCATCAGATTTATACGGTTCTCTAATCAATACAACCCCTTTCTGATACAGTTCTTAAAACATTTATGCTATAGTTGGATTGATGTTATACATTTGAGTAAAAATACATATTTAACTCCAAATGGCCTTTATATGTGTTCAAATAAAAACGGTTTATTAATGCCAACAACATGAACATTGCTGTTTCCTGTCATACAAACAAAGGTTACAATATTCACATTGTCATGGTTTACCTTTTTTACTAGTAGCCTCCGTCAGAAAAGACAATGTCTCAATATAACCAATACATTTAATTTATGAACTTATTTATACAGTTTTGTCAATTGCACTTTGAAGTGGTTTGAGAGTCATGTCCTTTGAGGGTTGGGCCACTGACTGTTGTTGTGCCACTTAGTTTTGGATAGTTTTTCGACTTTTCTTGAATAGTCTTTCATGCTGCAAACAAATGACATCTTTGTGTGTATTTTTTGTCAATATTTGTTCATTCCATTGATGTCACAGGCTTGGGTTGATTTGCATGATTCTACCTGGTGGTTGTGGTAAAGTAAATGATTATCTTTTGATGTGCGTAGCTGTATCTTCATAAAAGATGAGCACGTCAGCGATGTTATTGTTCTTTTGTGTAGATGACTCAGGTGGCTTCGTCATTGTGCTGCATCCTGAGCCAAGGCCCTCTCAAGAATTTGAATGCAATGCAGACTGCACACAGCTGAACACATCTGCTTTATGTTTGTGCGATCTACGTGTTGCCTTTACCCAGCTACTAATAAACGTGAAAACACTCTGAGAAGCCTTACACATAATCACTTTAAACTCATCGCTTATAGTACAGTCTGTCCGTGGAGACGATAGCTCGCACTCATTAAACAGGGAACATTAAAGTCTATACCGCCTTTCTATCTTAAATGGACTTTGTAAGTCACTTTGGTGGACTAATCTTAGCTTTAAAGTGCAGCCTATCTTTGTCATATATCATTTTTGTTTCAAGCTTGTAATGTATATTATCAGTGATAACTCATATTTTTAGTTACTAGTTGTTATCTACTCTCAAATACAGTAATGACATACTCCTACTAGGGCTGTGCGATATTAAGAAAATCAGATATTCTTTATATCAGTATTGTGACAATATGGTAGTGGACCGTTAATGCTTTTACAAAAGGTTAGAACAATGAAACGTACATAAATAATCATTAGTAATGTGGATATAACAATCAAGGCAAATAATAGAAGAGTTCAGAACATGTTATCATTGTATTGTGTAGCCGTAACTAACAGTATCAATTTGAAATCAATATATATATAACCCCCCCTCCCTCCGACAGTGTTGAGCTGAGCCTAACGCAGACTGGACTGTTTATATCTCGCTGAGTGTGAGGGAAACGGTGCCATGCTGTCAGGAGACCGGACATCAGATACAGGGTTCAACTGAGCACTTGGCACATGCTATACCATGTTTCTAAGAAACCCTGGACATAAAAACACATTTAAACTCCTCCTGAGTCTGTTTCAGTTTCCCACTTTTGAACATGTTGCTATGAAGCAAAGCAGAGCCCCACTTTTACAGACGAAGTATTTAACTCTTTGATTGCATCTTTGTTCTGGCTGTTGCCCAGGATCCCTCTCAGATTTCATGCAGGCGTGTTCCTGGACCCTGTCACACTTTGTGAGTCAAGCGAGACCCTGCATGGCTAAATGAAACGCATCTTAAAAAAGCTGCTCCTGCTCCCGCTGGTCTGGAGCCATTAGGGGTCAAAGTCTCCAGTCCTGAGTTCATCCACACAGCAGGAGAATGTGCACTAACTCTCCGGCTAAATACATGTTCATTGTGCATAAATGCATTGGCTCACAAAGCCGTCATGTTAGTGAGTTGATTCTTGGCAGCATATTCAACCGATCATTATAGAGACATAAAGGTAGGTATGTTCTTAAAAACCTTGCTCTCAAAATATGGACAAACCGGTCTGTAAGCATGACCTCATTGGCAGCTATAATAATATCGAAAGCACATATGATAATAATTTAAGTTTATGATTGCAACAGGCCCAAGATAAGCTAAGGGCCCCTTGTGGAGCACATATAGGTGTTTCAATCCTGAAATAAAAAACGATTTTATGCTATGTCACACATATATGAAAACTGAAACTTGGTGATATCATTCATTTAAGCTTTTAACACGCCCAGCAGTGCCCAGAAGGACATGTGCTTCCAATTATCTGTTAGGTAATACAACAAAGCAGCAGCAGCTGGTGAAGTCATACCCATGGATGCTCACACACTCACTCACACACACACACACACACACACACACACACACA